GGGATCAGTAGCAAAAATCCCTCCATGACGGTCTCCGGTTGGTGTCCCCGGAGAGATACAGGCACTCATGTGTGGCCTCTGCACATATGCGTTCACACGCACACATACACATAATGCACACATGCACAGGCATGCACATGGTTCTCCCCCACACCCACAGACACGTGCACATGCGCACACATACACCCCACTCCCCCCCCCCACACACACAGACTCACGCATGCACAGGCTGGCTGAGTCGCCATCTGGGGCGGCCGCACCACCTCCTTCCTCCCGTGTCCTGGCAGCCCAGCTGGCGCGAGAGCACTGGAAAATGAGCGAGTGTGCTCAGGCTGCCTGCCTGTGGCCTGCTGTGGGGCCGCTGCTGGCCATAGCATGCACTGCTCGAACCCCAGGTGGTAGGCGTTCGTCCCCTCCCCAGTCCTGAAAGTCAGGCAGAAATGTCCGGGTGGGGCGTCTCCCTGCTCCCTCTAGCTGCAGGCAGCCAATGCAGGGTTCCAGCCCTAGGGCCCTTCCAGGGCAGACCACCACACTGCCCGGCTTCCCTTGCCCAGGAAGGCGCACAGGGACAGAAAATCCTGGGACGTAAGGGTCGGCGCCAGCGGCCACATGGCAGAGCTGTCCAGGGACAGGCCGCCCCCAGCCCCCAGCTCCGCTTAGTCCAGCCCGACACCCGCTCCCTGAGATCTGCGCTGCAGACTTGGGGCAGGACCCTGAACCCCTGTTAAGCCGCCACTCTCCCGGGCGCACCCCCGCCACGCTCCCTTGCACGTGTCGCCCCCCCCCCCCCCGCCTTCGGTAACCGCGAATCGAGGCGCCCCCCCATCCCCCGCCGCGCGCGCCCTGACCCCGCAGCGGCCCCCCAGGCCGCGTGCGAGGCCGCTGCTGCGGCAGGTGGGGCGACGGGCCGGGGCCCCGGGGGAGGCCAGCCCGGCTCTACGCCCCGCCTCTCGCAGGGAACACTCCGTCCCCGCCCGGCCTGCGGCTTGGGCAAGAGGCGCGTGTGGGACGCCGTGTTCCCTGATAAGATGAGGCAATCCCGCCCCGCCGCCTCGCTGCGGCGCCAGGGAACATTTATGTAACCGCCGCCGCCCCCAGCGCTGCCCTGCGCGCGCCCCGCCTCCCGGCGGTGCCGCCCAATCCCCGCCTCCGGACAACCCCGCCCGGCCCCGCCTCCCAACGGCGCTGCCCAATCCCCGCCTCCGGGCCACTCCGCCCGGCCCCGCCTCCCGACTGCCTCGCGCAATCCCGCCTCCGGACAACCCCGCCTAATACCCCGCCTCCGGAGAGCCCCGCCCAATCCCGACGTCTCCGGCTAACACAGGCCCCGCCTCCACATAACCCCGCCCGATCCCCTCGTTTCCAGTGAACACGGGTCCCCGCGGCCCCGCCCCCGGCCCTGTGGCTCTGCGGGCCCCGCCCCCAGTTACTGCCTGGCTGCGCCTCCCGCCGCGCTGCTCGCCCCAGCCCCGCACCCCTCGACTCTGTCGCTCACTGTGCGCTCCGCCCCGCAGTCACCAAGCACCTGCCTCACTGCGCAACAGCCCCAGCACCCGCCGCTCCGCTAGACTTGCTCCCACCCCGTCTCTCCGCGCTGCCCCACCCAACCGCCAACTGGCCCCTTCATTGTGGGTCCCCGCTCCGCGCTGCCCACCCCTCCCGGGCGCCCAGAGCCTTACGTGGCCCCCCTCCCCCACACACGTGCACTCTTGGGAGTGTGGTGGGCTCACCGCGTCCTCAGCTTTCGCTCTTGCTGCCTGGCACCCTCAGCCTCCACTGCCCCTCCCCAGCCTCTCGGTCCCCCAGCCCCCCAGCCGCCCTCCCAGGCAGCTCCCCCTCTCCCTTCTGCCCCGGTACCTCCTCTCCCGCGTTGCAGACCGGGGATTCCCGGCACCCCATATGGTCCCCTGAGCACAGGCAGGTGTGTGACCCAAAAACAACGAAAAAAACGTTTTTGGCTCACCTCTGCCCCCCACTTCCGCTGAGACACCCCTCTGGCCCTCTGCCATCTGAGGAAAGTGGGAACTGCAGGAGATCTTGGGGTGCCTGCAGAGGGGCTGGGGCACTCCTGCCCCAGGGAATACCACCACTCGCACCTCCTCCACTGTGGGAGAGGGATGGAGGGCTCTTTGCAGACCTTGGCTTCGCTAGGCCCTGGGGCACCCATGTGTACCCGAAGCCTTTGTGAGCACCCTTCTGTTAGGAGAACCAGCTTGTCCGTGGTGCCTGGAGGAAGAGCTGGGCAGGCAGGCCCGAGGCTGTGTGGTGCTACTGGCAGCCCTGAAAGTGTGTGGGCAACTAAGCTGCATGAGCCCCATCACCAGGAACTCGTTGGGGACCTCCCTGCCAGCGTGTGCCCCCCCCCCCCCCAGCGCCTCTGCTTCTCCCCGGGCAGTCCTTCCTCTCCTCCTGGCTCTCCCTTATCTGTGCTCTGTGCCCACTCATAGGCTGTCCGGCTCAGTCACATGGCCCTTGACAATGACAATGACCGTGTCTGACTGTGGCCTCTCCCGTGACAATGCGGGGCGGGTCCTGTCTGCCTCCAGTCCCAGTGTCCCCAGGCATGCATCAGGTTGCCCTGGGAGCTTGCCAGGTGGCACAACTGGGCTGTCCCCGCTGCCTGGCACCACCCCCACCCCATCCCCTCCAGAGGCCACACTGATGAAGGATTTCCCTTCATTGTCCGAGCTCTCCCTCCTGAGTTGGTAGATAATTTATTTAGTACATAATAGGCTGTTTTATTATTTATTATTCATTTATTATTTGAATTCTGTCCTTGAATATACATGTGTCTCTTATCTCATTTAACTATTCCCGTGGGCTGCCCCCTGTCTCATACATAAAAATCCACATTCCCTCCCCCGTCTCATACATAAAAATCCACATTCTCTCCCGCTATCTTGTACATAAAAATTGACATTCCCTCCCCCTATCTCACACAGAAAAATCTACATTCCCTCCCCTTAACTCATGCATAACACTCCCCACGCCCTCCAGAGACCGTGTATTGGGGGGAATGGACTGTAGTCTCTTTAATTCTATGCTTAGTTTTAATTTTATTTTTTAGCCTTTCAGGGAGGGGGTGGGGTGGTAGACTATCTCGATGGTGCTTGGGGCTACCTTCAGCTCTGTGCCCCACACTCACAGCTGTGCTGGGGGGGGGGTGTCCACCCACACTCCATGGCAGATTCTGAGCACTGTTACCTTGTGTGGATTTGGTGGGGGGGTTCTCCATGAGCACAGCTGAGTGAGGCTGGCATCTGGGGTGAGGATCGATCGGGCTGTACTTCACCTGGTCTGAAACCTGTGCCGGGCCCAGAGCACCTGCCCAGTCAGTTCACTCCAGCTCCCTCTCCTGGCTCTGTGCTCAGGGCTCCTGGCCACGCTCAGAGAGCCATGTCAGGTACTGGGTATCGAACCTGGGCTGACTGCATGCGAGGGAAGTGTCTTCCCCACTGTTCTGTCACTTCCAGCCTGTCTCCTGAGTTTTTCCTGGACTTGCCAGTTGGTCTCGTATTCCCTCTTTCCAGACAAGAATGTGGTTTGCCCTGTCCCCATATCTGCCCAGTCCCCAGGGCTGGTCACTCTCTGGCACTTGGTGGGGGCTGCGTTTTGCCGCCTGTGGTGGCCCGTTCCCCCCCAGCACCAACAGCCACCCAGACTCCTGGGGCTCCTCCCGTGCTGGTGTCCACCCCTGCTGTTCTGTGTGGGGGCACTGCTGACCGCGTCTCCCTGGGACTCAGAGGGCTCCGGGATCCAAGCCAGGGCCCTCAGGAGCCGCCACTCTCCTCTCTGTGCCAACTCATCCCCTCTCCCTGCCTTCCTCCCAGTGACCGCGCCTCCGCCCCCCCACTTTTCAGAAACTGTGGTGGTTGGTTCCGCAGCGATGACGTCTCAGAGATGGACCAGTCCCCCTTTCTGCCACCCCACCCCCTCCTCTTCATGGGGTAGCTTCCCTGGGCAATGTGCAACTTTCCTCTGGGGTCCTCCTCAGCTTCTCGACCAAGTTCCTTCTGCAACCTGTTCTCAGGAGAAGCAGAGGGGGAACCATATCCCCCCATTGCCCCCCTCTTCTTTTTTTTTCTTTTTGGGGCCACACCCAGCAGTGATCAGGGGTCTCTCCTGGTCAGCTTGGGGAACCTATGGGGTGCCAGGATGGAACCTGGGTCAAGGCAAACACCCCCCCCCCACACACACACACACTGTCCTGTTGCTCCCAGCACCTCTTCTGTGTCCCCTGCGGCTTCCTTTGCCTCTGCCGCAGCCTTCTCCTGCCCCTCCTTTCAGTCCCTGCTGGGGTATCTGTGGATGTCCAGGCTGAGGACCTAGCAGTGTGGGGGGCCACCTCCTGCCCCAGGACCGAGAACAGGTGGAGCTCCGGGCTCTGAGTTGCCTGCCAGACTGGCTGCCGGCACATCCCTGGCTTCTGTGGGGAGGGGCGAACAGGGGAGTTACTGGCTGGCACCGATCTCCCTGACTGCTCTCTTCTGGGGCTTTGTCCTCAGTGGCCTATCTCTGCTCCGTGCACCACGCAGGGCCCTCTGCACGGGACCCTCTCAGGCCACGGAACTGACTGTTGACTTGTCCTGCTACAGTGGCAGGGGGTGGGGGGGTCACCGGGTGGCAGCAGGGAACCAAGTGGTAGCAAGGGACAGGCTGGACTCATGGCTGCCTTGGGGCCCTACAGGGGCCACAGGCTCTGGAGTGGCCGCAATGGGGCTGGGGCTGGAGTATGCTCCCGGGTTCCCCACTTTCATCCCTGCTCCTGGCCCTGATGCCCTGGGATGGCCCTGCCTGCATGCCTGGTATCGCTGGGGACATGTCTTCCTGGGCCATAGCTGCTGGAGGCTGCGTGTGTCGGGGGAATGGGGTGGGGGAGGGGCGGCTCGCATCCACACTTGCAGTGTGGGTGGCACTGGGGCCCGGGGCGCGGAGTGAGGGAGGGCCTAGGTGTCTATTTGGCCAGCGCTGACCCTGTGCTCGCTGTCCTCCCCATGCAGGTGAGCGACCGTTCGCCTGCAGCTGGCAGGACTGCCACAAGAAGTTCGCCCGCTCAGACGAGCTGGCGCGCCACTACCGCACGCACACGGGCGAGAAGAAGTTCAGCTGCCCCATCTGCGACAAGCGGTTCATGCGCAGTGACCACCTGACCAAGCACGCCCGCCGTCACGCCAACTTCCACCCCAGCATGCTGCAGCGGCGCGCGGGGGGCTCCCGCACGGGCTCGCTTAGTGACTACAGCCGCTCGGATGCCAGCAGCCCCACCATCAGCCCGGCCAGCTCACCCTGAGCCCCGGGCCCCCCACGACAGCCATGACCAGCCGCTCTCACCTCCCCCACCTCTGTCACCCATGTCTCCTTTTGTGATACGGAAGGCCAGAAGCGCCGCCGGCGTCCGCCTGCGGGCGGCCACGTGGAAACCCGATTTTCTTCACCTCAGGTGTCTGTCTGTCGATTTGTAAAAAAGAAAATGGATTTTAAAAAAAAAAAGAAAAAGAAACAGACCCAACCCCAGACAGAAAGAAAAGACGCCCTCAACTCCATTGCACAAGGGATGAGCCCGAAGGTGAGATTCTGAGGCGCTGAACCCCCTTTCTCAGGGATGGACCTACCTGCGCCTCGAGCTCTGCGGGGACCCCCTTCCTGCCGCCTTACTCTGTACATAGATTTGCACTTGGAGTTCGGGGCCGGGCGTTGACCGGGCGCAGCAGGAGGACGTGGCCGCACATTGGCACCCCGGTGAGCCTGGCTCCCCGCCTGTGGGTCAGCCCAGCAGCCGTATCATTGGCCACCAAGGTCATCTGTGCTTCCAGGGCTAACGCCAAAGCTGAGTCCTGCGTCCTCCTGTCAGGTGGGCCCAGGGTCCCCGCTGCCCGTGCCCCCCAGGGATGCCTTAAGCCAGGCAGGGCCAAGGGGCCCTCACTGCCTCCAGGAGCCTCGTCCTGGGCACCGTCGTGGCCATGTGGGCAGAAACCAGCCCCTGCCGCAGCTAGAGGGACTGCCTCAACTGCTGACCGTCGGGGGCCGTCCCCTGACGGGGACAGAGCCCCATGCTTCCTGCCCTGGACAAGGTGTGGCTGCACGTGCCCCCTCCTGGAGACGGGACTTGGAATTCTCGGGGGCTGGTGCGGAGGGGGGCGCAGCAATGTCCTGTTCCAGGTGGCCCAGCCTGGACGTCTCAGTGGCTCGCTCCCCCCACACGGAAGCAGTGGGGACTGCCCTCCACCACCCGGTCCTGGCTCCGAGCTTGCAAACCCAGGCTTTGCAGTCTCCAGACTCCTCCCTTTCCCTCTTGCCTGGGGACGTACGTGCCCCCCACCCCTCCGCCCCCCCCTTCCCCCTGCCCAGGGCCTGCAGAGCATGAGGGCGTCAGGGTGAGGGGCTGCGACGTGAGGCCGGTTTGCTCGCGTCTCCCCTGCAGTTTCCGGAGAGTGCATGCCCCCAGGAGCGTGCTCTGTGCGTGCGTGTGTGCGTGTGCGCGTGTGCGTGTGTGTTTCTGTGGGAGCAGGGGCCAGACTAAGAGGTCTTGCAGCAGCCTCTGCTCGTTGTTGGACGAGATTAACCACCTTCGGGACCTCAGATGGCCGTGGACGGGTTTCTGGGCCCAGAGTGCCTTGGTTGTGGGCTTCCTGCCTCCCAGTTCCCCTCTCCCCGGCTGGGGTGTGGTTGCTGGGGGACCCCTGTCAACAGTGGGGCTGGGGTAGGGGTGGGCTCTGCCAAGGGCCGCCACTGGGGGCAGCCTGATGGGTGTCCAGTGGATGGGGGGGTGGCTGGAACTGTGGGGGAGGAACCCCCCCCACCCTACCTGGGCACTGGCTGGTGAGCCCTGTTCCTGTAACACACACTGTGGAGTCCTTGGCAGGCAGTGTCCTGGTGCCTGGTGGGCACGATCTCTTGGGGGGTCATCCAGTCCCAAAGCGAGCCCCGTACAGGCCCTTGGAGGACCCCCCATAAATTGTTTCGGTGTGAGGGCAGCGAGCCCCACTCTGGACACAGTTCATGTCTCAGGAACTCACATTCCAGGTTCGGGAATTTTATTCCAAAGTCTTTTGGTGCATTCGGTGCCCTCGGGCCCCCGAAGGCAGGGTGAGGGAGCTGTGATGTGGGTCCTGCGTGTGGAGGGGCGCTGCCCAGGGCTGTCCCTGGGAGCGCCATGCTGTTCCTTGCCACCTGGAAGGAGGCTGGCGGGTCTGTCCTCCCCGTAGGAAGAGCAAAGGGCCCATCCTGGAATAAAAGACTAGCTGGTTTGTTTTAGAGGTGGGGTGGGGGTGGGGGGTGGGGGGGCAGAGAAGTGGGGATTTGCTGTTTTCCAAAGAGAGCACTTAATTTAATTTTTCCTCGGAATGACCCAGGGATGGAAAGGTTAAGTTGCCTTAAACCGAAGGATGCAGGCATCGGCTATTTTCTTTTGGCAGATGAGTGTCTTCATTCCCAAAGTGGTTTCTCTTTGAACGCCAGGGTTCCGGCCCTGCTCTCACTGCTGGAGGGCACCCCAGGGTGGCTCCCAGATCCGGGCTAACACTCCTGGGGGCGGTCCCCACATCTCAGGCTGAGGTTGACATGGGCAAGCATCTCATTGGGGCCTGTGGGGTGCACGTGGAGGAGAGACTGCTGTGCTCCACAGAGCAGGTTGGGGGCAGCTGAAATTTTCCTCTTCAGAGGTAGGAAGTCTTCCACTGGGTCAGTTTCGGGTCCGTTTCACCTCTCTGGCTGCTACCGCAGTTGAGAAAGGCACTGGACTCTACAATGGAAGTAGACAGGCAAATCTTCCTTTGGGCAGAGCTCAGAACAAAGGTGCCCCTGCCCCCCAAATTAAAAGCGCCTCTAGGTGACCCTGGATTCAGCTAGGAGGGGTGCTGTCCTTCCACTTACATCTCAAAGGGGGGGATGAAAACCCCTCTGTGTCAGCCATATCAGGGCTAGGGTGTGGGCCCTGGAAGGCAGCTGGGACAGAGCCCCTGGTGCCCCAGGAGTGGGGGAGGGGAAGTGCAGCCTTCAGCCCAGCACCCGGGTTTTAGGATCCCCACCCCCACCTCCCCACGGCACTGAGCCCATCTGGCTGATGGTGCCACCTCTAGGTGCAAACATGACGGGCAAGGGACCCCGTCCCGGGACAGACCAGCAAGGGCTCACTCAGTTGGGGGCTGCCCGGGGGTCCTAGGCAAGTGGTAGTGCCCAGGGAGAGCATCTCAGTGTTGCAGACCAGCTGCCCAAACTGGGCACTGTGCCGTGAGCACTAGCCACCCCCAGCGCTCCAGCCGGCCCTGCTCCAGGACCTGGCACCCAGTGATCGCAGCCCTTGGCAGCTGCCATGGAATTTCTCTCCCCGTTTTCTAAACCTACCCAGCTGGGGGCCTGGGAGGAGGCTTAAGGTGCGAGAGACCCTGGCTAGCCCCCACCAACACCACCTCCCCGCCCCTCGCTCACAGCCTTGGACATGTTTGCAAGCCCGACCTCCCCTCCACCCCGAAGATCCCACCTCTGATACTGGGGTTAAGCTCCCCCCAGTGAAACCAAGGAAGGGTGGACTGATCCCCATGAAGGAGCCGTTGCTTTTCCTGGATCCCCGGCTCCGTCTCAGGGGTCCGTCCTAGACAATTCCCGAGGGCTATGGGTGAGGACCCCCCCTCCAGCTTACTACTGACACCCACTGCGGGGAGCCCGGGGTCCACACTGGCCTTCTCCGGACCCTCCTTCTCCGTATCAGGTTTGCAATGCAGCCCCCCTTCCGTTTCCTAGTCCCCCTAGCCCCTCCCCGACCCCGCATCTCCCTTCTCAAACAGCTTTAGAACCACCTTGAATGGGGTGGGAGAGAAGTGCCCAGGGCAACCGACATTCCCTGGGGGGCCGGGGGACTCCTGGTGACTGGCCCCTGCACACTCGGGGACATGCGGCTTCAGGGAGCTGTGAGTCTGGGTGAGGGTGGTCACCCCACCGAGCACAGGGGGATTCTACGGGAAGCCAGGGGGCTGCCTTCCAGCATGGCCCAGACACGTGGGGGGCAGGCTGCCTGTCTAGGCATGTGGGTGGGAGACAGGAAGCCCCCTGGCCACACCCTGGTGGGTCCCTGTGTGCCAAGTGCCAGGGATCCTGAGGGCATCTGCCAGCAGGAGGCACTCCTGAGCAGCTATGCATTGGCCAGCTGGGCCCACTAACTACGTATGGTTGTATGCATTAGGGTCCTCCCCCAGACCCCCACAAGTGACCCCTTCTTCCCTGTCCAAAGCCATTGATGGAACTTCTCTGGAATCATTTGCCAAAACCCCGAGGCAGAAAACAAGGGTCCAAGATCATTTTCATCAAGCTCGTTTCCTTTCTCGTAGGAAGTTTTTTGTTGAAAATTTTTTTTTTTTAAACCAGCACCATGCCCTGCTCAGAAAGGCCACATTTCAGCTTGGATCACTACAGTGAAGTATTACCATGTACAGCCCCCACCCCCAACCCCCTCTTCTGGCCTTGGCTTGCTCGGATCAGACTTTGTATGTATTTTGTACGGCGTAGATTCTATATTGTAATGACGTCCTATGCAAAAAGAGAAAAAAAAACTTAACGTAATTGTAAATTTTATTGTTTTAACGTGTATGCATGTTTAGTGACGTTTACATTTTGAAATAAAATTTATGATTCATTATTGGATAGACCAAAGCTGGTTCCTTTGGGATCAGGGCTGCATGCCTGGTATGTGTGGGACCCCAGTTTTATCACCAGCACCGAGTGACACCCCGACTCTGCCCTGGCAGTTCCCAGCCCGTTGGCCTGAGGAGGGCAGGCTCAGTCTCATGGCAGGAACAAGACCTTTGCAGGTGGGTGTCTGAGAGGCATGCACACGCAGGGAGGGGTGGCACTATACCCTTGAGTGGACTCATCCATAAAGCACTGGGACCTCAATAAACACTGATTTTTGTGAGGCACAGTTGACAGTGCTCGGTGGCTACTCCTGAGTCAGGAACACTTTCAGTGGTGCTCAGGACCCTGCCACTTGGCCCTGATGAAATAATATGAAAGATGATTTTGTGGGGGGGGGGGAGGGGGGACTTTTTGTTGTGTTTTTTTTTGTTAGGGGGCCCACACCCAGTGATGCTCAAGGGTTACTCCTGGCTCTGCACTGAGGAATCACTCCTGGTGCTGCTCAGGGAACCAGAACGGGATCGAACTTGTGTCAGCCACATGCAAGGGAAGTGTCCTCCCGGCTGTCCTGTTGCTTCAGCTTCGAAAAGATGATTTTATTTTCCCCCAAAGTGGCACCTGCGGCATCAGGCACATGCAGTCAAGCGCACCACACCTTCTCTGTTGTCAGTGAGAGGGTGAGAAGGGCCTCAGGCACTCTCGTACTGAGCTAGAGGAGAGGGACAGTTCTCAGTCAGACTTGTCTGCAGCCTGCATCTGCTCGGTCCCTGGCACTTCACTGACCCCTAAGCACCGCCAGGGGTCACTTCTGAGCACAGCCTGGAGTGATGCCTGAACATCACTTGCTGTGGTCCAAACCTCCCCTACCCCCAGGTTAAAAAATCAAAGATTGGGTGAACAGGTATACTTAGCAGCTGCTTCAAATCCTGACACATTTTAGTTTGCTCCCTACTGGAAATCCAAATTTGTGCCCCTTTTTTGGTGGGGGCCACAACCTGGTGGTGCTCAGAAGTTATTATTCTTGGCTGTGTGCTCAGGAGTGACCACTGGTGGTGCTCGGGGGACCCCCATGTGGTGCAGGGTATCAAACCGGGGTGATCCCCATGCAAGGCAAGCCCCCTGCCCCCATTACTATCTCTCCACCCCGCAACTTAATTATATTCACGCTTTTCTCCGCAGCTTTCTACTTCCTATGAATGAAACACAGGGAGTCTTCACCTACACCCCAGACTGAGCCCAGCCTCCCCCTGATCCCAGGCCTTGTGCTCTTGGCCTCAGCCCCAGGACCGCTGTTAGGCACCCTGGACCGCAGAGCATCCAAGTGCCAACGTAGACTGACTGTTTAGCTCGCCACCTCACTTTGCTGGAGGCATCCTCCGGCCTCTCTCCCCGGAAGGATGTGTGGGACATGTGCCTATGTTTCTGTGTCCTGGAAGGTGTGAAATAACTTCCAGCTGCCCCATTCCTTGACAGCTAATTTGGCCTTGAAGAGCTACCTCCGCGGGCACTGCAACCATCCTTCTTTGCAGCAAACACCGTACTTCGATTCTGCTGGAAACCGTTCAAGCTTGTCTTAGTTTGGTTGCTCTGCACTCTTTTACTGGGGAGGGGGGCACACCTGGCGATGCCCAGGAATCACTCCTGGCAGTGCTGGGAGACCATATGAGATGCTGAGGATCGAATCCGGGTTGGCCCAGTGCAAGGCAAGTGCCCTCCTCCCTGTCCTATCGCTCCAGCCTTTCAAATCTGAGCTTTGCACAAGCAAGGCCAGTAGTGCTCTGTCATGGGGCTACAGCCCCCTCAGACCCTGGCCACATCTTCAGACCCTGGCTATACCCCTTGTCCTTGTTGAAGCCATCCCTGCCACTCCTATGCCAGGACAGGAAATTGTTCAGGAGCAACAATACTGCGAACTTTGATTTTTCTTGGGGGGCCACACCCAGTGGAGCTTGGGGCTCACTGTGACAGTGCTTGAGGAACATATGGGGGCCAGAAATTGGACTTTGGCCAACTGTGTACCAGAAAAGTGCCTTTCATGATGTTCTACCTCTCCAGCCTCCTAACTTGGTTCTACTGTGCCTTGCAGGCACAGCTCTCCTTCCCCAAAATGAATTGGGGTTTCATGACACCCCCAAAATCGAGTGAATAGCAGACAGCCTTTCTTGAATGGCCCACGTCCCCTCCTCTGTCTGAACCCCACGTTGGAAGGAAAGTGTGGGTGGTTCAGATGCACAAAACATGTATGGTACGGACCCCAGCAGGGGGGCTGCAGAATACCCCACACCCCGAGATCCAAACCATGTGTGCGACTCACTTCACCTTGGCCACCTCTGTAGGTGGCTGGGATTGAGGGGGTAATTTGCAGCATCTCCCAGGGTGGCGTGGAAGCATCTGCCTTGCACGCGGCTGTCCCGGGTTTGATCCCTGGCATCCCATAATCGTCCCCTGAGCATTGCCAGGGAATGATCTCTGAGCACAGAGCCAGGAGTAACCCCTGAGCACTGCCAGGCATGCCCCCCAAACAAAAACAAATATAAAACAAAAATATGTTTTCCAGTTTTCCCTTTCCTCCCCTCTGTGTTGCTGTTTTGAGGAGCAGACAGGGGTCTTGGGGGGACTCATGCTTGTTTGTGGGGCTCTCAGGGGCCACACACTGCTTTAGGCTTCAGGAACACAAACACCGTGTCCAGAATGGCTCTGGGCACATGTGGTGGTGCCAGGGATTCAAACTCTCAACCTCACACTTGCAAGGCTGGGACTCTGCCTCAGAGCCACGAGAGGCCTCCGATACCATCCATCCTTGATCACAGTCCTTCGCCTAGTATTTTTGTCTGTTTTGGTTTTTTGAGTCACACCCCAGCGGTGCTCAGAGGATACTGCTGACTCTGCACTCAGGAATGACTCCTGGCGGTGCTCAGAGAACCTTATAGGATGCCGGGGATCGAACCTAGGTTGGCTGTGTGCAAAGCAGACACCCTACCCGTTGTACTGCTGTGCAACTCTAGTCCCCTTGACCCAGTACTTTTGTTTGTTTTGGAGGCCACACCCAGCAGTGCTCAGGATTTACTCCTGGCTCTGTGCTCAGGGATCAGCCCTTAGCGGGGCTCAGGGGACCCTATGAAGTGCTGGGGGTGGAACCTGGGTCAGCCCCCGCCAGATTCGGCATCTTTGTCACAGGCTCCCTTGGCAGGTGACAGTCTGGAGATAGGTTTGAGGACCGCAGTCTCCTCGCATTTCTGCACACTGTCCCCTCCGCTGGCCTCAACTCGGGGCGGGAAAGCCCCTCAGTGGCGGTTCTCCCCAGCCTGGATTCTCCCCAGCTCAGCCATCTCCTGGGCCTGGGCCTGTAATTAGCCTAATGAGGCACTGATGCACTCAGGTCTGTGCCTGGCCAGCCGGCCCTCGCCAGATCTATGGGATCAGGCCTTGCCTGAACAGGCCCCACCGCAAGGCGCCCTCTGCTTGGTGGGGCTGTATTGGGTTCTCTCATGGCTCCTGCCCCATGTTTGCTGCGGGGGTCCCAGTTCTCCTGGGAGCTCCTTCTCCCCCCGGGTACCCAGCAGACAGCCGCATCCCAATCCAATCAGCTGGGCCGCACTGATTCATGCTTTTGGTTGGTTTGTTCTGGGACCACACCTGGTGGTGTGATTACTCCTGGCTCTGTGCTCAGGGACCACTCCTGGCGGGGCTCTGGAGACCATACAGGGTTCTGGGGATCAAACCAGCTTCCCTGGTCTCTGTACCCATTGTGGACTTCACTCTGAGCCCTCTCTGCCCCCCACACCACATCTCAGGGGCACCTTGGGAACCAGGGGTCCCTTAGCTCACTCAGGACCCAACTCCCTGAAGGTGCAGGGCAAAGGGGGAACTGGAGGCTGGTCCCTTCAGACAGACAGACAGGTACCCCAGGGCCAGGTAAGGGGCTGGAAGTGCTGGGCCAGCGGTTGTCCACTAACCTTCACCCAACCTCCTAGCTCCTGGTAGTTGCCTGCTCTGGATGGGAGCTGAGCCCTCGGCAACTCTCCCCTGGGGTCTGCCTTGGGGATTCCTGGGGGTTGCCGAGTGTCCCCATCCCTGCCCTGTTTGAAGGTGTCCAGCCTCTGACCTCATGCCCTCCATTGGTGCTGGGCTCCCTCTGGGAACAACAAAAGCCTGAACCCCACCCTTTGGAGGAACTGGGGGGGGGACTCACCTGATAAGTGTCAGCACCCCTGTGTCCTCCGGGCCAAAGATGCAGCAGAAAGGGCTAATCCCCTGCTCCCCGCCAGCCTCAGGGTGCGGGCTCTATGCTCCCACAGTTCTGCTTGAGGTTCAAGGCCCGGCCTGGGCCTGCCCGGCCTCCCTGGCAGCCATCCACAGAGCAGGTGTGGACGATGAGCCCGAGGTGAATCAACTGCCCCTCTGGGTGGGCGTGTGGGGGGTGCAGGGACCCACACTCGGCCCCTCTCTTTAGACACATCCTGGCTGACCCTCGCTACTGGGGGGTTCCCTCTGAGCTGCATGTCTGCCCAGGCCCCCCTCCCATGGGGTGGCACCAGAGGTCCAGGCGTTCTTAAACCCGCAGAGACCCCGCTGCAGTGAGTTCCCTCCACCCCGCACTCCAGACGCCACCAGCCCCCCACCCATTGTTCTCTGTCAGTCACCCCCCATCCTTCCCCTTCCTGACTTCTTTCTTTCCTGTTCATGTTATTTTTAATTTTTTTGACGTTTCGGCCCTGATGTTTTGAACACCCAGCAGTTCTCAGGGCTGACTCCTGGCTCTGCACTCAGGGATCAAGCCTGGTGGTGGTCAAGGGATCCTATGGGATGCCAGGGATCAAACCGGGGCCAGTCGTGCGCAAGGCAAACACCCTCCCACTGGACTATTGCTCTGGTCCCACTTATTGGGCGTTTTAATAGGGTGCGGCAGGCAGGCACCCTCCAGAGGCCACTGTGAGTCACCTCAAGCCTTCCCAGGAGGGCGAGGCTGGCTGAGCAAACAGATGTGAGAGTCTCACCCGGCCA